TGAGACAGAATCAGAGTTGGAGTCCAGAAATTCTTTGGAGTGCACACTTTTTTTTTTTTTTTTTTAAACTCGGGGCTTTCCTGACACTTTTCCTGCTGTTAAGACGTTGTCTCTTTGGGTAGTTCCCTATCCTAGCGGAAACGATGCTCTGCAGAAGAAGCCAAGGTGTTTGAAAACTTGTCGGGCTTTTAGATATTTGCTGATGGTCTCAATAGCCCTGTGTAGCCAACACTCTGCAAGGGGAGAGGGAAGTCGCTGCCAGTGGACCCTGTGGGTCAGGCTGAGACTCCCCGTTCATGTTACCTGAGTCACTGGCCTACTCTGCCATATCATCTTGCTCATTCTTACCACCTACTATGGCAAGTGGATGCCTGCTGTATGCCAGGGCATTGTGCCAGGCACCAGAGCTACCTTGGGGAAATGAGGTGGGACTTGTGCCCTAGGGAGCTTTCTTACTTTAAGCTGTACATTTGGTATTTTCACAATATGTGGTCGGTGCTATGCTGGAGCATCTCCTAAGTTTAGCAGAGAGCGAGGAAGACTTTGCCTCCCTAAGCTTGTCTGTTTGTGTCCCTATTGGAGAATGTATAATAGCAGTCTTGACCTAGAGCCAACATTCCAGAAGCCTTCATACCTACTTCCACTCTGCCTCTATTTGTGTGTGACTGTGGGCAAGATAAACCAAGAGCTTAATTTTCCTCATCCTTCAAGCAAAGATAATATTTGCTCTGCCTTCCCTCACAGAACTCTGGAGCAGTTAAATAAAATACCAGCTGTGAAAGTTCTTTGGAGTGTTCAGGGCACTGCAGACTGGGGCATTTTGTTGTTAATAGCTGCAGTAGACCCAGGAAAGAAGTCAAGGAAGTGTCACACACAGCATCACAATGGAAAGCTTTGAGTCTTCTTATTTTTTGTTGCTGTGAACTGAAATATCTTAGCTGAGCAAGAACCCTTGGACCAGGAGGAGTCGAGATGAGGTTTGGGCAGCCCAGAGCACAAGTCATGATCTCTCCTGAGAAGCAGGAACCACACTGCAGCCTCACAAAGCCGTAGGAGACAGTTACAACCCCACCAAGGGGCCAATCACAGGTGAATACCCGGGCTTTTTTGAGGTCTGTCAGAGACAGTTCCTATATATGAAAAACATTTCCTTCAGGGCAAGGCTATACTAAGATAATGTCTCATTGTCCTTTTTTATCTTGATCCACTCAAGAATAAGGGCCATGTCTCTTCATCTCCGACCTCAAAGAGTCCCTACCCAATGATAGGCATTAATTTGATGAAGGAATGAGTGGACATAAATGAAGGGCATTTAAACATTGTGAACTCATGATAATAATGGACACTTCCTCTGTGCCAGGAACTGTTTTAAGTGCTTTACACGTTTTCAGTTATTTAATCCTCACACAACCCTATGAGGTAGAACTATTACCGTCCTCTGTTTACTGAGGAGTAAACTGGGGCACTGAGAGGTTAAGTAATCTGCCCAGGGTCACACAGCTGGTGGTCTGGCCCCAGCCTGTACCAGTCACTGCACTGTATGGTCTCCTGTAGGGGAAAGAGCTTGTATTTTGGGGCCAGGCCCCATCAGTAAAATGCAGATTATGATCATTTCCTGCTTTAGAGTGTTACGAAGATTCAGAGGGTTAACATGCAAAGCCACTAGAATATAGTGGCCGTCCATGGATACTAGATCTTGTCCCTCATTTGGGGTCCACTCATCTGGACTCTGCAGCCAAGTTCTGTTTCATGATTAACTATGGAAACCTCAGCATGTGGTTGAATCTCTGGATTATTCGGGGTTCAGAGAGGAGGGACTCACAGCAGACCTTACAGAATGGCCCTGTGTGCTCAGGTTGCCCTGTGGCCAGAGGGGAGTTTGGCGTCCTCACCTGTCAGGGATTCTGTTCTTTTTGTGCACCACCACCACAGACTGGTAAGGGGCTATTCTAGATGAGGTGGGGACACCCTCTCTGCTCTCAAAACTCACAGTAGAGTGTGACACTGGGGCCTCTAGTCCGATAGGACTCACATAGCTTCGTAAACTCACTCTCCTATCTCCTAATCTTTGATTGCGGAAGTTTGATCTTCCCATACTGCGTATTTTCAGTTTATCCAAAGACCTCACTGTCTTTCATTAATACATTTTTTTCCTAATTAGACAAATATAAAACTGCCAACTTTTCAGACCCAACTGCTATTTTATTCCATTTAATCAACAGTTTCCCCCCTCTGAAACTAGGCCATCCATTTGATCCTCTTTTTCTAATAAAATTGCTCAAAATTTACAAAACTGCCATTTCATTGGTTTTATATCCTAATGTATTACCCATTTAGTTATAAATTTAGTGCTGATGTACATTTTCAAGCATTTTGATTGGTAGATAATTTTAAATAGAGACGAATTTACTGATTTGCCATAGCCATTTATTTGTGGTTAATAATAACCCATTAATTAAAATTTTAATTAATGTTTTCAAAAAGAATGATGTATTCACATCGCTTGAAATCCAAGATACATCAAAGGGTATGTGGTGAATACCTCTCTCCATACTTCTCCCCAACCCCTCATTTTTCCTCTTTGGAGAAAACGAGTGTCACCATTTTTTGGGTGGATTTCCAGTGACATCCTATGCAGGTATAAGCATACATTATAAGCTACATACCCATGCACATTCCCCCACCTTGTTTTGCACAAGTAGTTGCTTATTATACCCACTATTCTGCAATTTGCTTTATTTACTTAATGACATCTTTTAAATTATTATGAATCAGTTGATTCTTAAAAAGCTTCCTTGTTTTTTTTAATGGCTGCCTAGCTTTCCATTGCAAGACTGGACTGTAATTTCTTTACTTAATCTCTTTTTGTGGACATTTTGATTGCTTCCAACTTTTTAAGAATACATGTAATGCCATAGTGCACAATCTGGGATATATGTCATTTTTGCATGAATGAGAGTTTATCTAAAGAATAAATACCCGAAAGTAAAATTGCTGAGTCACAGAGTATATGCATTTGTAGACTTAAAATATTGGCAAATTGCCTCCATAAAGACGATTTATTTATACTGCTACCAGCAATATATGAGCATATGCCTATTTTCCTATTTTTTCATCTCCTCCCCAGCTCAGTCATTAAAGGTTTACCTTTATCAATAAGGTAGATTTTAAAAACAGGCTCTGTTTTAACTTACCATGAGTGAGGCTGACCATCTTTTCACTTCTCAGAGCCTTAGATTTTTTACTCTGTGAACAAACTCTTCATCCCCTTTGCCTGAACTCTTCATGTCCTTTGCCCGTTTTTCAATAAGGTAGGCTTTTAAAATAGTCTGTATTTTAACTTACCATGAGTGAGGTTGACCATCTTTTCACTTCTGAGAGCGTTAGATTTTTGACTCTGTGAACAAACTCTTCATATCCTTTGCCCGTTTTTCAATAAGGTAGGCTTTTAAAATAGTCTGTATTTTAACTTACCATGAGTGAGGTTGACCATCTTTTCACTTCTGAGAGCGTTAGATTTTTGACTCTGTGAACAAACTCTTCATATCCTTTGCCCGTTTTTCAATAAGGTAGACTTTTAAAACGGTCTCTATTTTAACTTACCGTGAGTGAGGCTGATCGTCTTTTCACTTCTGAGAGCGTTAGATTTTTTACTCTCTGGACAAACTCTTCATATGCTTTGCCCGTTTTTCTATTTAGACTTTTTTACTTTGTAAACAAACTTCATATCCTTTGCCCGTTTTTCTGTTTGTTTTTCTGTGTTCATTTGTTGTTCTTCCTGTTAGTTGATTTTGAGGAAAATGCTTTGCATATTAAGGAAATTAGTCTTTTGTCTTGATATGAGTTATAAATTTTTTTCCCCAAGTTTACCTCTTTTCCTTTGATTTTGTTACAGATTTGTTTGCCATGTGAATTTACCACTTCATGATTGTTGATTGCTTTGTTTTGAGGTTCATTTGTTTTTTTTTTAATTCTCCAATTTCTTCCAGTATTTTTTTGAATCTTTATTTTTTGAATCTTTAATTTTAATTTTTTGAATCTTCCAGAATATATTTATTATAAAATATGAGTTACAATCAACCTTCTTTTCCTATGCAACAGTTGTTAATTTCAACCTTGCTTTTAATTTGTAACCTACATATTGTGTGTCCTGTAAATGTCTCTTATACCAACCCTGTGCCTCTTCTAACATAAGTCAGGCTGATTTAGGGTGACAGATCATATTTTCATGAGACAGCTTGGCTTGGGGGAACAATCATTATCTTCAGTGTCTAGCAGACCTGGTTTTGAATGCCAGCTTAGCAACATCTTACCTACACAACCTCAGACAAGTTACTTAATCTTTCTGAACTTTTGCAACCTCATTTTGTAAAATGTGGTTGATACGACTTCATTTTGCAAACTTGTGATCATTAGAGATAATGTTTATAAACTGCCTGGTCAGTGCCAGGCACACAGTGGATAGATAAATGGGAGCTATTACTGTTGTCATCATCATTCCCAATGTCAATAATATGATATCAGTCTGAATGAGGACATTGTGTCCCCTCAGTGTGCAGCCATTCTTAAGTAAAAATTGGTGTTCCTGGAAATTGGATGTTGGGCCTCCCTACCTAAGCCAGAGGCATCATAAGTACCCTTGTAAAGATCAGGCTGGCATTTTGAGGGCCACATTTATAACCTCTGGGCAGATATTCAATTGTTAGGTGTCTATTAAAAGTGCACTTCACTGGAAGGTAAAGTGTGTCTGATTATGTAGTCTGGTTTTATAATTAGGTCTATGAAATTAGCAGTCAGCATTAGTTTGTTAGTTCCTTTTTGGACATATAATGATCTAAGAAGTACTGTATGATCTGTATAATCTCTTATTTCAGAACCTAAGTTCAATCCTGTCATACATGTAGCAGTCCCCTAGTTTTTAGAACATGGAAGTCTTCCTTCCTCTAGGTTTTCTATTTGGATCTGAAAGTAAATGCTCAATGTTGTTTTTCTATTTTCAGGGATGACTCTGTTCCAGAAGACAACATCTGGAGAGGCATCCTCTCTGTTATTTTCTTCTTTCTTATCATCAGTGTGTTAGCTTTCCCCAATGGTAAGTAATGTCATGCATTACCACATTTCTCCTATATATTGTACCTTTCTGTTTTTTTTGAGATGTGAGTCGTCTAGAAGATGGAGTAAAGAAATAATCTGAGTTTTGAGTAGTGGTTAGGGGCACAGGCTCTGGAGGCAGACTGCCCATTCTGCCACTTCCTAGCCCCAGGGAAGCCTCCCAAGAGTGCTGACAATGCTTCAGTTTCTTCTATAAAATGGAGATAACAGATAGGTACGGTTGTGAGGGTTAAATAAATGGGTGCACATTAAACACTATGAACATGACTGACAAATTATAAGCTCTCAATAAATGTGATTCTTTTTGTTGCTGTTTTTGTTATTATCAGTTGGGTCATAAAATACTCCATTACTGCTGAGTTCTTCTTTTTTGCTAAGGACAGGGTCGATGCTGTAATGAGTATTACTTAAATAAGTTGTCCCAAGTGATCTTTTATCACCATAAGCTTTGCTGATTATGCATTTAGGATATGAATTTTCATCAGCAGGAAAAAAAGACAAGGATTACTATGAATTTTACCCCTATCATGATTATGGAGTGAGTGAAGCAAAGCTTTTGTTTAAAAACCAAGTTTGGTGTTCTGCCATGCTCACAATTCATCCCTTTCCTCTGAATTCTTCCTTAAAAGTTGCTTTCTTTTTTCTTATTCCCTTTCAGTAACTTCCTACTAGAATATTCTCTACTTGTTCTCCATAGCCATTTCTAAACACTCACTCTTGTCTTATATATATATATATATTTTAACACCTATGACATTTGGAAATTGTTCCAGTCTTTCTTAAGGGTTATTCTCCATGGGCCGGCCCTACTCGGGTTTTAAATATCATGCTTTAAGATGCATTTCTTCTGTAACTGTTCATGCTATTCAGTAGGCTATAATGTGTAATGTAAGAAGCTCATTGTGAATGTTATCAGATGCTACCTGGAAATGTTCCATGTCAAGGCCTTCAGGCTTCCTAAGATGGTGGCAGTGGAATTTTATCCTGTTTTTTTTGAGATACAAGTCATCTAGAAGATAGAGTAAAAACAACAGCCAGGCGCGGTGGCTCACGTCTGTAATCCCAGCACTTTGGGAGGCCGAGGTGGGTGGATCACCTGAGGTCGGGAGTTTGAGACCAGCCTGACCAACATGGAGAAACCCCGCCTCTATTAAAAATATAAAATTAGCTAGGTGTGATGACACATACCTGTAATCCCAGCTACTCAGGAGGCTGAGGCAGGAGAATCATTTGAACCCGGGAGGCAGAGGTTGCAGTGAGCCGAGATCACGCCATTGCACTCCAGTCTGGGAACAAGGGTGAAACTCCGTCTCAAAATAATAATAATAATACTAATAATAATGCGAGTTTTCCATCGTAATTATGAACATGGACTCTGGAGGCAGACTTATATGTAGCACTGTGTTTACAAGAACGTAGTGGTTTTAGTATGTAGCAGACTAGCATAATAATCATGCTGTTAAAACCATGACTCTGAATCCCTCAGAGAATGAATTGTTCTACATAGCCAGGTTATTTGGGAGCTGAGTTTAGCTCTCCAGCCACTCAAGCTTTTAAGTTAAAAAGAATTTTCTAATGAAAATCTGCGTACCTTATGCAGATATGTCAAATGTAGTTTGGCTTTTCCGTAAGGATTGATGGTGCTGGTAATGCACAGTTATCAGGGTATGAAGACAAGTTGTGCATAATATGGGTAAGTCATGGAATAAAGGGGTGTTGACCCTGCTGTAGAATTTTTAGTTTTTTTTTTATTTTTAGAGATGGAGTCTTGCTCTGTTTCTCAGGCTGGAGTGCAATAGCTATTCACAAGTGTGATTATAGGGCACTACATCCTCAAACTCCTGGGCTCAAGCAATCCTTCTGCCTCAGCCTCCTGAGTAGCTGGGACTGCAGGGATACACCACCACACCCAGTTATGTTTTTATATTTTTTGTAGATAGTGATGGGGTCTCACTATGTTGCCCAGACTGGTCTTAAACTCTTGGCATCAGGCAATCCTCCATCCTTAGCTGCCTAAGTAGCTGGGATTCCTGCTATCAAATTTGCTGAAAAAAATCCCTGATGTCAAACAGCTTTTTGGCTATTTGCCAACTTTCCCTTCCCTCTTGTTGAATTTTAGGTTGGAGGAGTGCTTGGGTGTTATGTAGACCCTCCTCTCCTTCAAGAGTGCCATATTGTATATGGCATAAGTGGCCAGCCAAGGGTGGGTTCCCTGAGCTCTGGACCCTGGCCTTTCCATACAAAGGTGACCTAAGAATACAACTCAAAGCAAGGATATGGCGAACTCTATCTCAGGTTCCATACCAACACAAGGCTGACCACCACCAAAGCAGACATTTGGAGCCTCTGAAACATGACTAGGTGACTATTCAGATGGTAGTGACAGTTTATTCCCCTTCCCCTCAGCCATTCTGCCTTCTGTATCCTGTGATCTGCTGCCTCCTTCTTTGTCATCACTCAATGCCATGACCATTATTGGTCTGTGCCCTCTATTCCTACTTTTCTTTTATTTCTCTTATGTCCTCTGTCCTGTCTTTTTGTTCCCTTATCTGTCAATCAGAGCATGATACATGCATATGTCCTCAGGAAACTGATCAGTGCAAAGGTATCAGGTCTGTTCTTTAAGTCTTCAGCTTTCCTTGACCTGTGTTATTTGTTGCTTAGTTCTCAAGCGTTACTTTTTCATGGCTTTGAAGGTTTCTTTTTGGCTCCTTTTAAAAATTTTGCTGTTTCTGAGCCCAGAGCTGTTTTAGAAGTGTGAGGATTCAAAAAGAGTAGTCTCTCAATAGCTGTGATTTTACAGCCGTCCCTTCTCTAAGTCCTTAGCAGGAGCTGAGTATTGGGGCTTCATTAGCAGATGTTTTTCTTGAGGTACAAAAGGCACTGAAGGTTAAGGGGATTAAATCTATTTGATGTAACACTTTGTGTGATTTCTTCTGGCTTTGCCCCTCTGTTCCCCAATGAAGTCCTCTAATCTTCAAAGTTGACTTTACTTTACCTGCTCAATCTCTCGTTGTGGGACTGTGCTTTTGTTTTGATTCTGGAAAGATAAAACTGAAGCTCGATTTTCTTATCCTGGCTGCATAGACTTTACGATACACACAAAGGGAGGAGGAGCCACAGAGCTCATTTAGTTTAGTCAGCTCGGTTTACCAGTGAGAAGGCTGAAACATGCCACTATGTCCCCCAGCCTTTGATGTCAGCCTGCTGGCAGGGCACGAGCTGTGCATTTTCCTTCCGCGGTGCTGCTCTGGTCATATCTCATATTAGGTCCACTGTGGTATGCTTTATCTCTGGCTTTCTCCCTTATATGTTTCTGTCTCCTCCTGTTTCTCTTTTTTTCTGTCAGTCTCTGGTTTGTCTTTTCCCCCAGGGTGGGGTCTTAGTTGGCCTGGACGTAGCATGCTTTGCATCCCACAAAGGAGGTGGGTGGTGACTGAGTCGATGCTCCGTTGCCCGTGTGTTGTCTGTGACTGGCAGGAGCTGTCACATTGATCTAAGCCTTCCTACTGTATCCTGTTTCTACTCTATTTCTGCCCTACCATCCTTTCTTTTCCTCCCGGGCACCTACGCGCGCGTGCACACACACACACACAGACACACACACACACACCATTCACTGAAAGGCAGACCATGCCAACAATAATGTTTCAGATGGGTATAGAAGATATAAACAAGGAGGATGGCAGTTCAGTGTCCTGTGCAGGAGGGATTGGGACATTAGTCAGTAAAAGGAGGACTTGGATTCTCTTGAAGCCATGTATACATAGCAAACATACTGTGTTTACCTCGTTTGTTTTCTAAAGATCTGTTTATTCACACCTTACCTAAGAGTAGTAAAACTAACTTTTCCACATGAAAGAATGTTACTGAATATTTTCAAATTAGGGATGGCTTTGGAAGGTGCCAGTGGAGATGGTGGGGATTTGGGAGGGCCCTGGGCAGGGTGCCTGTGAGGTATGTGGCCTCCCCTGTTGGAGCCCGCTCTCAGGCCACAGGCCTCCCCAGGAGCCCATGCCGAGCGGCTGCCTCTGTGACTGGAGCATACGTGCCCCTTCTCACTCAGTCTTGTCCCCTTATTTTCCATTCTCCCCACCCTTGGCACATATTCTCAACTCAAGTGATGAAAATGAATGGGAGAAATGGAGCCCAAACGTGCCCTCTCCTTCACAGACAGTTTTGGGGAAGTGCCTGCAGTGGATAGCATGCCCGGAACAATTTTTTGGCAACTTGAAATGCATTTATCCTTGACCTGGTAAATGCTGCCCTGCATGGCTGTATATAGGCCAAAAGTGGCTTGTGTCCATTTGTCTCATCAAGTATGTGTGAGTTCATATATGTTATCTATGTGGTAGACTTGCTCAGCTCCTACAGGAAGGGAGCCTTGTGATTCTTTTTGTAGAGTCTAAATAGCAAAGAAGGCCCTTGACTTTCTCCATAGGGTTTTATAATAGGATGCTTTTGGCTACAAGTGATAGAAAATGCATTTCAAAATGGCTTAAACACTAAGGAAATTCGTTATTTTCTTACATAACAAGACGTTCTGAGATAGGGTGGTTGGCAAGCTGACTAATTCAGCAGCTCAGTGACCTGTGAAGAGCCAGCTTCTTTACCCCTTTCTGTTCTGCCGTCTTCTAGTCTGCAGTCTGCCCTGCTGGCCTTGAGATAGCTCCTGCAGTGCCAGCCATATAGTGGCAGGCAGTGGCCAGCAGATGAAGAGATCATCTCGTCTTGTTTGTCTTTACTTGAGTGGAGACCCCTTTTCTAGCCATTCTCCAGCACACTTACATGTCTTTGACTAGGATTGGGCCACATGTCTCTTCTCAATCTGTTCCAGGGACAGAAATTTATAGTGTTTAGAGGAGTAGATATTCAACAGATATTTGTTGGCTAGAAAAATGACAGGGGACTAGGATTATCTCTGCTGGTTTAGAATCCACCCCTGAGTTATATGGCAGAGGAGTGGACACTCAAACAAAA